ATATATAATAATTGTTAATAATTGTTACCATCCGAACGACTATTTACTTAATAAGAATTGGCTTATTGATCATCAACATATCGATCATTATCTTATCATTATAATTATTATTTAAACAAGCTTAACTTATCAAATATTACAATGCTGTACATAAAATATATTTAACTCTTTAATTAACAACCTCACAGAGCAGAAGAATAGTAGCCCTGCGGTGCACTCGACGACTGTCCAGCTGGGGTTCGGGTAGACGACTGAAGAAACACTTGAGCAACTTCGTCTTTATATAGGAGTCGAGGCTTGCACTCTCAAAAACGAGCTCCGCACCTGAGCCTCTGGCTGAGTTTATTTCCTATGTGCCACCTGAGAGAGCTATAAAAGAGAGTAGAAATTTTCTGCTAGATATATGAAGAGTTAAGAGCTTATCAAAGCTAGATCTTAGATCAGGCAGATAGGTCGACGAATTGGCAACTGGACCTGCTCTATGATTAACTTATCTAATCTTTCTGCTCAAGAAAATTATACGTTAAGAGTTCGGCCATATCTCGCTCAGAATGTTACAAACATTTGCTCAAAATCATTATACCCTGCAATCCCATTTGAGTTTGTGTATATATTTCTATATATAAATAGAATAACGCCTTGTCGGTAAAGTTTAAATTTATAGCAGTCTGCCGCGCGGTATGGGGATAACTGACCTGGCCTAAGCGAGGGAGGCTGCATTCAAAAACCAAGAAGCCAAATACAAAGAGATAATTTCGCAGCCGAGCATAAAGAGAAACAAGTTTTTAGAGAAAAAGTTTTCGCGTCGGGCAGCAACAACGTGACAGGCAAAGAAAACTTCGCGAAAACAACTTTGAACACGTTTCAGTTACCTGCCACACCCACCTGCCCGCAGGCGACGCCCAGCAATGGCACGCCCACTGATTATGTGATGGCAAATGAATGCAATTAATTGTGAATGCATCTGAAAAGTATTTACAACTAGTAGAGCATTGCCCATTGATTGCAGCATCAATTTAATTGAAAAACTTTATTCCAAGATCGAAATGCGTTAACTGTAATTGTAAATGCGTACATGTACATGTCTACACAGATGGCGATTGCCATTGGCCTTGGTTGCCAGTTGACAGTCGGCATCATCAATAAAAATTGCAACATTGTCAGCCTAATAGTTGCCAACTGTGAACTGTGAACGTTGAACGTTGAACGTTGAACTGTGGGAGCCACTAACTGCAGCTGAAGTTGCACCTGGATAACTTTTACCTGCGCTTCTTGCCAAAGTGCAATTCAGCGTCGTCAACTTGAACTTTTGTGTGTGTATTTTGCAACAAGAACTCGGCTTAGGCTGCTTGCCAGCAACATTGCTGACTTTGTCATGCATTTTGCAACACAACTAGAATCGTTTCATATTAGTTAGAATTACTTGAATTGAACTAAGATCGAGAATTAAATTAAACGCTTAACTGAAAATGTAATTTTATTGATCCCTAGTCTTTTTAAGATTTTAATATGAAGAGGCAAATGAATTTCTGATTATGTTTATTAAAATATAAGTACTTGTTTATTCTTTTTTGCTATTTGATAAATATCAAAAGAGCAGGTGGAAATGTAGACATCAAATGAAGCAGTAAATATCGTATAACTACTCCAACAGCCTAAATAGCAGATAGAAAAAAAAAAAAATTGAATCTAAGTCAGAATTCAGCGAAAAACTAAGTATTATAAGAATATTTTGAAATAATATAAATATTAACACATTTTAAGATTTTTTTTTTATTTATTTTTTTTTTATAAGCTTAGATGGTTTTTCTCACAAATTTATGAGCATGAGCACTTCAGGATTGTTAATGAAAAAAAAATGACTAAAAGA